AGACACCTGTCTTTCAAACCAAGACACATAGTGATTGGGTGTAGGCAAGAGTTAGTTGTTGCCTAGAACCTCAAGCAGCCAAGTAAGGCAAGGCAAGATTTTGATTTAAGAGATAAAGGGAATCAAAGTGATATTTGGAGATGAACTAGAGGCAAGACCTGTTCCAAGTTTGGGAGCCAACTTGCACTTGACTGTTCCTTATTGCTGCACGATGTTGCCATGACTCTGTCAAGGGCAATCTTTTTATTGGGCTGCATCTATTCTTTTTCCACGGGAAAAAAGAATAACCTGAATTATACCATTAATAATTCATGTTTCTCAAAGGAAAAAAGATGCCAAATAGGTATTTCTAACTTACCTCTCCGATTAACAGGATCCTTAGCTACATATGCAACATAGTCAGTTGTATCCTGTCAAAAAATTAAAATATCTACAATGAATGCAAAAAATCTTTGTACAGATCATAGCAAAAGATCACAGGCCAGAGTGTGCATATTCCTGTGAGTAAAGCCTCAAATGACATGTTTTGCTCTATAGTTGTATACTACTTAAACCCCATAAAAACGTTTATGGGTTTTGGTACTGATCCCGCCACTTTGCTTTCTCCAGAGTGTGATCTTATTCCAGCAGAACTTAAAAATATCTTCTAAGGCCTTTGAAAATCAATTAAACGAATTTAGTAGGATTTGTATCAGGTCTCATTTAGAAGGGAGTAGAATTATAAGTCTGCATCTTCAAACTACCCAGAGATTTTGGTTCAGAACATGAATAATCAACTGGTTCTCTGGCAGAAAGAGTGGGAGTAACAGCCTGCTCCCCAGAAATACTTTATTCATGTGTGAGAAGCAGGTGTGTTTACTTTATTGACTACAATGCCACATGGCACAGAAGTGCTCAGCCACCGCTTGGCTGTGACAAGCTGTATCCCAGGACATTCTCCCCCAGCCCATGGGCTGCTCCCAGCCATCTCTGTCAGCATGTGCCTTGTGGATTTTCTGGCAAGAGCAGGCTGACAACTTCTTTGGGGCCTTTTTGCTTGCTGTCCTGCCACCCTCATGGTCCTTTGCACAAGTGACGCAGAATTTTATCATTGTGCAGATAAAACAGAAAGGCCAGTGATTCTGGGAAATGTGAGACCTCCAGGCACATTTGGAAAATGCCATATATCCTTGACGCAATCAGGAAGGCCTGGTTAGATATGATATTTCCTGACATGCCTGGCTAGTCAGGTATAGCTAAACCTAACTGAGGTATATATAGGATACACTGCAGCTGGCTGTATAAAAAAAAAGCCAAAGCCTTTTCAGGTGACTGATCCAAACACATTGACAATTATGTCAAGATATAACGTCATAACAAATAACCAATCTTCAGTTAAAAGGTAGACTTCTTCCAACACTATTGGAAGGCACGCAGACACAGCAGTAAAAAGGCTGGTCTGTTAAAAAAGCAGAGCAGAGCAGAATAGCCCTATCAGTTTGTCCAGTAATTTCTTAAGCACCCAGTGACATATTGTCTCAGCAATGACTTGAGTGGAAGTAATGACGCATATCAACAAGTTAAGAGGACAAGAAAAGTGGCTACGCCTATAGTAGCAAATAAAACAGGGCTGAGGTAAAGGCCTGAGAACTGTCCCAGAGTCATCCATACTGTTTAATTGTTGCTACTCTCCCTTGCCTGGCTGTGCTGGTTTCCCATGCCGTGGTCTGAAACTCTCTGAGGGATCAGCACATGCTGGGCATCAATCCCAAGAGACCACTGGGAGGGGAGAGAGTGATGGATGTAAAGTGCACTGTGCTAGTTAGTTTCAGGGCCAGAAAACAGGCCATAGGTCATTTTATTTACTAGTACAGATATAGCTAATGGATACTTTTGTGTCTGAGTAAATCATAAGTCTATCTCACGGCTAGTGTGGGTGTCAGAGACTGGAACCACCTACTCTTTATTTCATCTAAAGCTCTCAGATTCAAGCTGACTGTGACAAACCATTAAGGATCTAAGGTGGGCACATTTCACAGTGGCTAAATTAGAAGACTCCCATTAAAAGGCTATACAGTGCTGGGCTGATGCAGCAAAGCGGTCTGTGACATTCAAGGACTGAAGGCAAGTATGAATGAGCTATAATTTTCACCTCGAAGAAATTGCATTGCAGTGTTAAAATTTGGAGGCAGGGCTGAAACTGAAAAACTACTGCCTTCAGGGACCTCTGAGAGACCTGCATTATTAGATCTCATGAGATCTGCCTCTCTGAAATTTCAGCAAGCATCTACAAAAACAGATGTCTTGTCTAGCAGCCTGGAAACAGACACCTGAAATTACTATGGATGAAAATTGTTTAGTGCATCATAAGGAGGGGCTGAAGAGAGCTAAAGCTGTCCAAAATACAGTTTTAGAAGTGAAATAAAAATTATTCCAAAATGGTGTGTAAAAGGATTTGGTGGAGAAATTTTTAAGCTTCCAAGCCAGAAACTGTCTGACTCATTGCAAAGGGGAATATTGCAAAAATATATATGGTACTCAAGCTGTTCTCCAAGACTGTGGAACCCTTCTCCAGTGGATATATTTTGAATGATGAAGGTAATTAACGCTTAGGGAGTGGGAAGAAAGTTGCAAAGCTAATTGCTGGCCGGAATGTGTGGCAGATATCCAGAGCAGTAAAGTGGATGGGGTGAGAAGTGGGGGCAGTCTCCCTTCTAAATAAACCAAACTGCAAAATTCAAAATAAGGGAAGTATTTCCTGAAGAAACATGGTCATGGATCTAGGTTCCTAGTTCAGTATGGCCCTTCTCCATCCATTTTAAATCTTACATGGAGAGATGCACTTACGAGCTGGAGCCCAACCATGTTTGGGAGATACTATTTGGTGGTGGCAGTCCTCCACCAAGTGGAAATCATTAAGGGCTGACAAAAGTTGCCTGGACGACTTTCAGATGGGTTAATAAAGCTGTGACTTAAATCTCATCCTTGCATCTTGTCTTCTTCCATACGCACGCAGGACAAAGGAACCACCTGCTTTATGAACAAGCTTTTGATTTAAAGTTGTGCCAGATACTAGCCCACTTAGACAAGCCTGTAGAGCGTCATTAGATACTCATCCGTACCCTCTCCACCCCCAGAATGAGATCACCATGCAGTGGTCTCATTGGGAACACAACTGTACAATTTCACTATCTCTTGCAGGCTCCCTTACACCATGCATTTTTATTTCTCTGGTAGCTTACTGACTCAGTAGCATGATTTTTATCTCTCAAACATTTGGAAGAGCTTGTTTACTCCAAATCCAATCTTTACTGCTGCTCCTCTCCTGTTTCCTGGTAAATCACTCTATCAGTGGGCAGTGTGCAATGGTGTTTCCAGGACTTAGCATTTGGGATGGCAGATGGGGAGCGAAGAATCTTCTTACGGAGGCAGGGAACTGTGCTAATCATTCCTCTGCCCACTTTAGGAATTGTTCATTTACAGCATACATTGCAACCTGTTGTATTTCAAAGCTGCTGTTGATCCTTTTTTTGTTCCCCAAATTATTATGATATGGTGTCCTTTTCCCTTCTGGAACTGAACTGAGCTCTGTACAGCTATACTAAGACTGAATTTTTCTCTTGCATTTTCTGAGGATAGTGAAATGAACAGAGAAAGTGACAAGGATCTTCAACATAACAGAGTTAAACTGAGAGAATTAAATCACAAAGCAGGCTAGAAATTGCCTTACCTGTAGTACGTGACTGATAAATGACAGACAATCGTATGATAAGAAAAAGGCAGACTCATTCAATTAATCTAGGTTTAAGAGCTTTCAAACCCCTAAGGTAAGGGGTGAGCAATGCCTCTGTTTTATAATTCTCCCATTGCTTCCTGGGAGACAAACACTTTTCAAGCACATTTAATATGCCTTTGAATGGACAGCTTACAAAACCAGGAAAAAGCGCAACAAGCAGGAGTCTGCCCTTTGATCTAAATGAGCCATGTGTGTAGGTGTATCTGAAAGCTTTGCAAAACTAGAAAGAATTATCTGGGCTTTTCCTGAAAGCTTGTCTTCAAGCTGCACGAGTAGCAAATATACCTGAATGCAGTACTTAGCACAGTCTTCTCAATGCACACTTAAAGATGAGAAGAAAAAAAATAAATTTTAATTTATTTAAATAATAAATTTATAGCATTGCTATAAATATAACTGCAACATAGTCTATTGCTATAACAAGTACAAAATAAAAAACAGTCAGGACAAAAATTCACATGGGACCCATATGACTAGACTATATTACTCTGAAAAACAAAGCACTGCTTATCAGTTATTATATGTATGTTCACAACCCTTTGATACTTTTTATTTCAGTCACTCAAAGAGAAGGATTTATGACTGCTTGTCAGGCATTTCCCTCAAAAAGAGTGTAACGGCAACAATCAAGAAGAATTTATGAAAGAAGAAACAGGAGCTATTCTGGTTACATTTTTCTTTCAGTAAGCTATGCAATAAATTTTGTCACACATTACTCATAAAGCAATACCTACGCGGGGGAAAGCTTTAAAGAAATGCTTACCGGATCACCTCCAGACGCAAAGGAAATAGATTGCATATGGTGATTTGCTATGATCTGTATGGATCAGAAGGAATAAGTGTGAGTCAGTAGGTTTTCTTACAGTTGACCCTTTTGATTTCTTTTTTGCTTTGTATAGGGATGAAAATCCAAAACCAAGATCAAAATGACCTCTGCATTTCACCTACAAGGAGTGCAAAGAGTAGCATGATAACATAAACAAACTTAAGGATGAATGTATCTGTTCTTGTGTTCTTCAAAACCTAGCAGGACATGGCAAAATTGCTAACTTTTTTTTCCAAATTTTAAGAAAACTGAAAAGTCCTTGAAACCATCAGTTCAAGTCACTTTTAAAAAAAAAAAATCCACAGCTAAAAAATTTAGTTTAGTTGGAGGTAGGGGTTTTTCCCCCCCCTTCCCCGCCCAGTACCAAAATATTAAAAAGAAGGCATAGCAAATTACCAGCACATTACATTGCTTAAAACGAAATGATTCACTAACGTTGGCACATAGCTTAGAAACATTTCTGTCTACCCAAATCTGCATTTTAAACAAATAAACAAAACAAAACAAAAAATTATCTTCCATGCATCCCTTCCTAACATGTTCACAAAACTGTTGTGCAGGGATACATGCAGCTGCTTTTCTGCTACCCCAAGGGCCAACAACACTTGCCTTTCCCCTATGGGAAAAAGAGGTTATTACAGAAGTTCACAGCCATCTTCCTTGGTGGGGCCCCCAAAGGCCAAAGCTGCTGGGCCATGCTTATTTTCAAATCGAATGCTTGGCATAAACAAGAAATAAGGGAGACCACAGCCAGACCGAGGATCTCTGAGAAACCAGGCATTTCCCAGGCCTGCAGCACCCAGACCAAGTCCATCTCAAAAGGAATGACATGAGAGAAAGATAAACAGTTTTGTCAACTCAGAGAAAAGGCAAAACATCTGAGGGAGGATTCTTCCCTGGGATAAATCAGTTTAACTTCATTTCTACCCTGACGTCAGCTGAAGACAGAGCAACTTTCAGGGTTTGGCACTTTTTCAGGAGATCTATTTAACATCAAGTTCCTATGCTTCTGACTGGGGGCAACTGTCCTTATGAAAAGCAGTGCTGTGTATATTCCCCAAACTACTGCAACCAGCCATAATGGTGCTTCCACAGTCTCAGTGCTCACTGCAGAAGATTATGATGCTTTCTAAATAAGGATGATGATAAATCAATGAAAACATAATAATAAACAGCAAGCTTTTTAATAGACAATATATGTATTCTTTCTTATTCTTTAATCCCGAAGCTCCTAAGGAC